TTACCCCTTACTACTCTCAATCCAGTCTTAAAATAAATCTTTGTTTCTGCACTTCTACTACGCTCTTAGAACTTAGGTTCTACCCCTCTTGTATGAGCCTAGCCTTGGGACCCATGAGCTCCCTCTGAACATGGACACATAAGGGCTAACCCTCCCACACTGCACTCACCTCTATCTGGTTATGCAAACCTGGGTGTAAGCACTGCTCGGGGTCCTTTGAGGCCGTTAGGGAACTTTGACACACCCAGGTCTGAGAAAGGCTTTGAAACAAGTAGTGCTTGAGGTGGTTTATTCCATAACTCAGAGAGGAAGTCAAGAATCAGGATTCCTATGGTTGTAACATCTTGTTTTACACTGTTCTGATGTAATTCAGTGTTTGGTCTGTAATAATTTGTAATAAATATTGGGGGCTGGTTAGTGCAAAAGGGATGGGTAATTATGCATGTTTAGCTATTAGAAGGGTAGAGAACATGCCTATAGGATTTGTTTCTTTAAATTATGCATGTTTTAATTCTATATCTAGATAACATGCCTATAGGACCTATTTTAAATTCTACATGTTTTATTACCACACTTAGACACCATGCCTATAAGATCTAAACGACTATAATCAGACATCATGTTCATAAGGTTAAAAATCAGTATTTCTCATAGAAATCATGCCTATAGGAATTTCAAGTAAATCCTGTCTGCTTTGTTTCTCGTTCAACTAGATATCATGTCTATAAAGATTAAAAATCAGCAATAATAGGGATCATGCCTATAGGATCTCAAAACCAGTCTAGTTTAAAATCAGTTTGACTCGTACTGTTCTGAATAAGTCTTAAACAACCTACTCCTTTTATTAATATGGTTTAGAAAACATGCCTATAGGATCCCCAAATCGCTCGTATAAAACTGTTACTACTTTGCTACATTTTGAATCAGTAATAGACATCATAGGATATCACCAACATACTTAGGCAAGCCTTAGGTGATAACAACAAAATTGAATCCGCCTCTGTTAATTAGTAACTGCTACAACCAGCAGGCAGGCCTGATTCAGACTTCTTATATGAGTTATGTAATAAACTGGTCTGCTTCAACAACTAAACTTCTCCTGTCTTAGTATTTTTAAATTCTGACCCTAAATGTGTTTGAGTCATGCTACTTATGTGCTTTACTTGAGGAGGTATATATGAGCCTTTTGGTTGCTTACATGTTTTTCCCTAATATGCAGTCCTATGTATTTTGAATGTCGCCTTAGTCTTTTACCTTTAAAACCTATAAGTCAGCCTAAAATCCTCCCTCTTATAAGAATAGTAGTCCTCAATTCCTCGGGAACTGATAGGAGTGGGACGGGTAATAACATGCAATAGAGGTCGAGACCAATCCGCGTTTTAATACCTTAACGGGGTGGGAAGGGTAGATGGGATATGATGATCGGTGCGCTAATACCACATGTATCCCCTCTTCTGAGGAGTGTCATACCGGGTATCGTATTGATGTGATCCATATTATAAATAAACCTAGGACTCGTCTCTCCTTTTATATTTTCAAGTATTTGTAAAAAATGTAACTCCATTTCAAAATTCGCCTTTAATGATTGTTCTTTCAAACCCTTATATGTTTAAACCTAAATCCCCTACTACTTGAGCCTATACTTGTCTATTTGCTAATTGTACAAATTCACAAAAACTCGGGAACCACACTAGTGGATCCTGAGAGGTTCCTAACACCTTCCCCTTAGGATAATTTCAAGCCCTTACCCCATCTCTGGTTATCAAACAAACTTAAAAATGAACTTTATAGGCGTCCTAATTCACCTTAACTTATTAGGTGGCGACTTTTCAAATGCAAAACCCAGTTCCTAAAAGGAATGAGTTGTCCTACACCAAAAAATATCATAAACCCGATTTTCCGATGCAAAAAGGAAAAAAGGGGCGCGACAATGATGAGTTTGGATAAGCCCTGGGGGAAGTTGAAAGCAGCTAGAGTGTCTCTAATAAAGGACCATTCCAGCCTATCAAAGGCCTTCTCTAGGTCTATTTTTAGGATCATGTTACCAATCTTCCCCCTCATTTTTCTAAAGTGAGTAATATATTCTAGGACAATGATGGCATTGTCACAGGCTCTCATGTTAGAGAGAAAGCTTGCTTGGCTTGGCCTAATAGGTTTTATCTTATTCATAATGATTTTTGTGACTGACTTGATGGTGTTACAAAGTCCAATGAGCCTGAAGTTTTTTAGCATTGAAGCTTAGGGGCATTTGGGGATTAGGCACAATAGAGTTTGGTTCATGGTGTTGTATATAGAGCTTGTAGAGAAGCATTTTGGCAGAGTCCCCTACTATATCCCAATACTTTTGGTAGAAGAAGGGGTAGAGGCCATCAGGTCCAGGAGATTTGAAGGGTTTATGGGAGAAGACTGCCCTTCTAATCTCACTCACATGAAGAGGTTTGTCCATAAAAGCTCTTTGGCTTTGAGATAGGATGGGTGCCATGGTAGAATAGCCTGTGGGATCCCAATGGGCTTAAGTGTGGGATGTTATGTATAGATCAGTAAATAAGCCCACAATTGCTGAATGAATGTCATTTTGGTCATGAAGCCAATTCCCATTCTCTTCTTTAAGAGAGAGGATTCTGTTTCTCCTTCTTCTATTGAGGGTGGATGTGTGAAAGAATCTGGTGCTAGCATCTCCCTCATTTAGCTAGTTAATTCTAGACTTAAGTTTCCAAAAGTCTTCTTCATTTTTGAGGATTAGGTTGAGTTCAGCATTTAGCTCTGTTTCTAGGTGTAACAGGTAACTACTGAATTGGTAGCTAGGAGATTTTTGAATTCCAGAGATTCTTGTCAGGATTCTCTTCTTTTGATGGAAGATGTTTCCAAAGACTTCCTGGTTCCACTTGGTTACTAGAGTCTTGAAGCTTTCAGTGGATTGGAGAAGGGTGGAATGGTCAGAGAAGGCCCTATTGATGATGTTAGGGAAAGAAGGGTGGCTAGCCCACATTGACTCAAACCTGAAGGGACTTACTGGTTTGTTGTTTGGAGGCCCTACCAAGTTAATTTGTAATGGGCAATGGTCTGAGTGAGTCCTAGGGAGGTGAAGTACAATAGCTTCAGGGTACTGTTGAATCCAGCCTTCATTTGCGAAGCATCTATCTATTATTTCTAGAATTAGAGAGGTTTTGTTACTGTACCTTTTATTAGTCCAAGTGTATTTGCTTCCTTTATAGCCTAGGTCTAGGAGGTTACACTCATTTATACAGTTCCAAAACAGGTTGTTGCGGCTCAGGTTTATGGGATTACCCCCAAATTTGTCCCTGGCCTTTAAGACTTTATTTAAGTCTCCGCCTATAAACCAAATTGTTTTTATGTTTTTTGATATTGTGATTAGGTTCTCCCATAGGAGTTTTCTATTTGCTAATAGATTGCTAGCATAAATTGCAGAGAAGAGCCATGGAGGGTGGTCTGGACTTACCTTCACCATTGCATGAATGCCTTAAGGTGTAGTTACCACTTCTTCGACTGCCATGAACTCCTCTTTCCACATAAACATTATACCCCCAGATGGACCTACTACCAGAGACTGAATGATCAAATTGAACTAAAGTTGCTGGGCTAGGGTCTGGTGGTCTGCCATCTTCGTTTCAAGCAGGACAAGCATGTCAGGCTTGTGCATTTTTACTATTTCTAAACAGTGCCGTTTGAACTCGGCATTGTTTCCACCCCTAACATTCCATATGATGTAGTTCATCATTGGAGGTGGGGGTGGTTGGTGAGTTCCCTATTGAGGGATCTTTGGTCCTTGCAGACCTGACATTTGAGGTGGGGGGACTTCCTCTTGAGACTTAGGACTGTAGTTAGGTTGAGTAGTGGTTTCATCAGACCATGTGTTTGGGTTGAGACTAGGCTCATTCCATACTTGGTCATTGTTTTGGGGCATAGTACCACCACTATCTCGCTGGTTTCCGTGCTGAACTCTATCGATCTCACTGAGTCCAGGAGTAGTGAGTCCATTCTTTGTGTCACATAAGGTATTTCCTGTTCTTCTTCTTGAGGATCTCTAGAGCTTCGGAGATTCCTTTCTGGATATTCTGAAGAGGTGGGGAATTTCTCTTCCCTTTTGGATCCGAAGATGATGGTTTGTTTTGGGTTGGCTGGTCGATCATGGCGAAGACCGGCTTCGCTGCTGGGTCCTCTTTCATCAGATCTAGGAAGAAAGGCAGTGATTGGAAGCTTTGTAGAATGTGGTTGTTGAGAGCTTGAGGGTCCGTTAATGGGGAGTTGCTGTCGTTGTTGACCATCGATTACCATATGAGAGGTCCAAAGGCTGCCAGTGCTTCCACCGTGACTCTGGATAGGTGGGCTGGGTTTTGCATTATCAGGGTCACCTTCTGATTGTCCAGGGTGAAATTGTAGGAGAGTCCTTGGCCTTGTAAAGCAACCTCCAACCAGGAGGCCGGTTGGTGGTCCGGTGGTGGTGGTAGGGAGGTGATGATGGTTGGTGGCGTTTCTTTTGCCATTTTTGTGTTTCTTTGTCTTGCTACTTTGGGTAACAAGTGGGGTGAAGTTAAGGAATGTGGGGGGGGGTGTACCAGATAGGGCACTCGATTGTTTTTAGTGACTGTTGATATTTCTCCATTAGAGGTCGTTTCAGGCATATTGGTAGGGAAAACGTAGGTTTGTGTGTTTGGGTGGGGAATTGGGCTGTTAGTGGTGCCCTTGTTGGAGTACCCGTTTGGGGAAAGAGGATCGGCCCCATTGGGTATTTTGCCAGTCTTGAGGATTGTAGTCTTGGGAGTTGGGCTAGAGGCCCCTTGGACGCTAGGCTCATGATTGGGGTTGGTGGGGTCGTCAGTAGTTGGCCCCATTTTCCTTTTGGCACCTGTACTGGGTTGTGCCCGTGAGCCTGTGTTTTAACCTTGTTGGGGCATATCTTGTGTGTCAGTGGGGGTTTTATTTTGCATTGGGCTATTGGGCCTCTTTTGGGTATTTTGGGCGGGGTTAGTTTTTTTGAATTATAACGAAGAGTTTGAGTTTTGGAGAAATTTTCCTGAATTGGCATCGAACAAATTTACCTGTATTTCTTCCGTCTGTGGAGCATGTTGTGGTTTGTTCATTCTACCATCATTTTTGTTTGTTGCTTTTGCTTGTCCATGCTTGCGTCTTCGTGGGAAAGTGACAGTTTTCCATTCACTTTCCTCCGAAATGACTACTTTCTTTTGATGATCTTCCTGTGGTTCGTGGGTTGTTGTGGTTGTGGGTGCCCTGTAGTTGCAATTTTGTGCAGTGTGCCCTATTCTGCCACAAACGGTGCATAGAGTTCCCTCTCTTTCGTAGATCACAGCCTGCTTATGGTCTCCTATTATTACCGATGTTTCTACTGGGATTTTCAGTGGAACTTGAATACAAATACGGTCATATCTTCCGCTTAGGTTAGAGGATGTGTATTGGTCTATCTTGAGAAGTTTACCCAGCTTCCTACCAACTTTCTCCAAGATATCCTGATCATAGAACTCTGTTGGTAATTGAGGGAGCCGGATCCATATGGTAGTAGAAGTAAGAGTGGCTTCTTGAGGAATAAACTTTGGTTCCCATTTACGTACATAAAGGAAATTTCCAGAGATGAACCAGGGGCCTAGGTGTAGAGCCTTGACCATACTTTCTTCTAAACTAAATTTTACTATGTAGAAGTCCCACCCTAGGTCAATCAAGATTAACTGTTCGGATAACTTCCATAGGTCGTTTAGTTTAGATCGGAGGAGATGATGAGGTATCTTTCGCTTGAAAACTTTGATGATTACAGAGTAACGCCATAGAAAGTAAAGACGCTCTTTCTCATCTTGTGAAAGTGGAATTGAACCCTCAATGTACTTCCCTTTATCCAGATCTGGAATTGGTTGGTGGTAGATTTCATAGTAATTAGTTTGGTTGCTCACTGATTTGTCCAAGAGCATTTCCTTATAGGAGTGAAGAGGTAATTCTATCTCCATTTGGCTGTGCTTATCTGGGGGTTCCGGTGGAAGTGATAGCTTAATCCGAGGGGGATCCATAATATGGGAATAGTACTCCAAGCTAACAATAGGTGGAGAGAGAAAAAAGAGTTTTCCAACTTACCCGGTACAAGAAGAAAATAATTAATACTACGTTTCTTGATCGAAAAACCAAAAAGAGAATAATAACCCGTTAACCCATATGGTTATCGGGTACTACCCATGAAATCTATGGCAAATCCCCCTTTTTTCTAGTTCTTCTAGGTTTCCCAGCTTCTCCATTTTTGCTCCGTCTCTCACACCTGGGTCGGTGTCACGGCCTCCCTTCGACGTCTCTCTCAGGTAAAATCTTTTTCTTTAACTAACCTTCCTGTTCTATAACACTTTTGCTTCCAGTATTTAACTCTCAGATGCTTTGTTGGAAAAAAAATGACTTTTAAACTTCAAGATCTCAACTTTTTTCACTGTGTATGTGAGTTTCGCAAATATAGTCAGTTCTAGGCCCAGATAACGAAGAAGTGATACGGAGTATTTGTATAGCTGACCCAACTAATTCGGAATTGAGGTGTAGTTGATTGATTGATTAATTAAAGATTTCAGCTTTTGTACCGCAAGTTGTTGTTTTCTGGTAATTTTGGGTTTGTGTGTTTTCTACCTTTGTTGAAGGAGGGTTTAATTATTTATTTATTAAAGTTTTTATTAAAGTTTATAGCTTGGGTGTTCAAACCCTACCTCAGATAAAAGCCTGTGCACCATTGGCCCTCGGGGATTTTTCGGTTATAAAAAAAAGTTTATAGCTTGGCTTGTTTAGCTCGCTGAAATATTTTCTGTTGTTAAGATATCCTTTCCAAGCGTGATCTAAAGTTGTTAAGATATCTGGTCCTAGTATTATCTGTCGTGTCAATAATTGTTTGCACAAAACATATAGTTTAATCTTTATGAAGAATAATGCTTTGGCTTATAATGAAACGGGCGAGTGGATAAGTAGCTGAGAAAGAAGTTATCAACCTTTTTATATATAAAACGGAGTTTACTTTGTTACTTAAGCTGAATTACGACTTCGAGAGCTATAAGAAAAAAAAACTGTTCTTGGTATAAGTGTTTGATGCAAAGTTTGTGTTCGTGTTAATGGAATACTGTTGTTTTCAGTGTTCAGTGTGATTTTCACTTAACAGCCCCTGGAAGGGGTGTTTCTCAAAATGATGGTACAGCTTGATGAGAACTGTTTTTATGCAGGTGAAATCTTTGAATTTTAATGTTAATATATCAAACCAATCACTTACTTGGAAAGTAAAAGCAAGTGTGCGTGGTTGGTCTCATCCCCTTTAACCTTTTTCCTCCCAGTTAGGGATCAACCGCTTTAACAATGGGAACACCAGAGACCTCTCGTGAACCTTGCCCTGACCGTATACTTGATGATGTTGGCGGAGCATTTGGTATGGGTGCTGTTGGAGGTGCGGCCTTCCACTTCATAAAAGGCACATACAACTCACCAAAAGGTGAGCGCTTGGTTGGTGGTACACAGGCAGTGCGCATGAATGCACCTCGTATTGGTGGTAGTTTTGCTGTGTGGGGTGGACTGTTCTCCACGTTTGATTGTACAATGGTTTATCTCCGTCAGAAAGAAGATCCGTGGAACTCAATCATTGCTGGTGCAGCAACTGGTGGCTTTCTCCAGATGCGGCAGGGATTAGGTGCTGCTTCTAGATCAGCAATGTTTGGTGGAGTTTTACTTGCGTTGATAGAGGGAGCTGGAATTATGTTGAATAAAGTCATGAGTGCTCCCCAGAATTTCCCGCCCATGGATGAGCCACTACCAAATGCCCCTGGTGTGCCTGGGTATCCAACCGGGCAGCTGCCTGGTCAACAAATGGGGCAGCTTCCTGGTCAAGCTCCAGTAAGTATTGATGGCATGATGGCTGAATCTTCAGCACCGTCCTCTTCTTCCTCAAGTTCCTGGTTTGGAGGGCTTTTTGGCGGTGGAAAAAAAGAGGAGACAGCGACAAACAGTGGTAGCAAGACACAGGTTTTAGAGAGCTTTGATGCTCCTAGCCCACCTACTTTTGAATATAAATGAGTTTAAGAGCTGAAATTCTTTGCAGGTTGATTACTGTTATTTTCTTTATTATTTGGATTCCTTATGTAGTGTGAACCAGTATATTAATTTATCAGTGTAGCCAAGGTTTTGTGATGTTTCATGTAAAGTATAGATTTCTGAATAAATGTCTTCCTTCAAAAGACATTATGTGCGCTGTAGTCTCTAAGGAAACTGCGCAGGACAAAGGAAATAAAGTCTCGCTTTATATGCATTGACATGCTCTCTTGGAATGAAGATTACCATAAAATTGGGAACTTGTTATTGACTACTTGTGTCCTGTTAATTAGATGTGTTCTGATTTTGGTATATTTGAATCTTGTAGGTTTTGAAATTCTTGAATTCATTAGTGGACTTGTATTATATCGAGATGCCTCATTGTTAGCATCTTGACGATAACTTTTTGGCACATCGGTATGTTATGTGCGTGTAATATAGGAAATACTTGTGACCCCTAGGCCTTCACTCTTGTGGTAAAAGTGCAGCTCGTGATGTGTGTGTGTTGGGTGCATGTCATTCGAACCTGCCGCAAACAAAAGCCTGGTATCGAGTGGAGAAGGGTAGAGTGGAGAAGCCTGAAACCAAAAGATGGTTCTCAAATCTTCTATGCCAACAGGGACAAATCTACAAGTTTGTCAGCCTGTTGGCAAATCTACAAGTTGCTCAGTCTTCCTATATATTAACAGAACATATTTTCTTTACAGTTTACATTACTATAAAACTAACAGAGACCTCATTGATGCACCCAAAGTTAACTAAAATGTACAAAGTCATTCTCCAACCATTCAAAAGCTTTCCAATTTCTCTCCTTTTGGAGGATCCATATGAGAGCTAGATCCTAGAGGGGAAACCTCCCATACCGTACTTTTTTTTTTG